CTACAGCTTGTCCTATCCTGTCTACTAAGGCTTTAGACGCCCGCCATATGACTCAATATGAGAGAAATGCCTACATGTCCATCTGAAGAAGGATTTAAAAAACAACAACAAAACAATCGGGTCTCAATTGCCAAAGTTGACATCATCACTGATTTCTGAAATAAATCAATAAAGCTATGTAGCCCTATTATTACAATTATTATTATTATTATTATTATTATTATTATTATTATCATTATTATTATTATTATTATTATCATTATTATTATAACAATAACAATAATGATGCTGACAAGAACAAGAACAAGAACAAGAACAAGAACAAGAACAAGAACAAGGACACACTCAATTTCAACAGGCTTCTATTAATCGATGGTTTTCGCCACTTCACCCAAAATATTTGAGTTCGAATCTAATGTTAGAGAAGATACCCCTGTCTTCTGGGACGCCATATCACATTCTACACAAGCAGTATTGTTGCAACCCGCCTCCTAATTGAACTAAATTGTGTCTATTAGGGCGTAAAACATTAAAACTATACAGACAATCAGCCCTTTTCTTCCAAAATCTCTACGTCCATCTGTAACTGAAAAATATTAGATTTTTTTGTTTTCTATATTTTTTCTTATTTAAAAAAAATATTTTGTCGAAGAAGCCCGTCTCTTTAATTAACTAAACTGTGTTAATTACGGCGTAAAACATTACGATTCTACTACCAATCAGCCGTATTTTCCCACTATTAATTCGTGCAACTGTATCTGAATATTTTATGTCTCCCTTTTTGTATTTATTCTTTCAGAGCAGCCCATCTCCTAAAGTAACTAAACTGCGTCGATAAGGGCATAAAATATCACGATTTTACAGTCAATCAGCCCTTTTCATCCAGTCTCATAACGTTCTACTGTGTCTGAATATTTACATTATTAAACTTCTTTTCTGTATTATATCTGAGGAATTTTCTTGTTTGTTTTTTTCTAACTGCACAGAAAAAAAGACTGCTCTGGGGAGAGTAGCAATAACCTTGTGTTATTGCATCCGAGGGAACTGTAATTTCGTTTGACAGAATATTTTTATTATTGAGTCGTAGATCTATTCCCTGGTTAGAGTTCATGTTTATATAAATGCACACTTCATTGTTGACGGTGTCTCCACTTTGGAGCTTAATCTTACAAATGAGGAATACAGATGGTTACTGTCAATGTCACTGTCATTGTCATTGTCATAGTCATTGTCATTGTCATTGTCATTATCACTGTCACTGTCATCGTCATTGTCATTGTCATTGTCATTGTCATTGTCATTGTCATTGTCATTGTCATTATCACTGTCACTGTCATCGTCATTGTCATTGTCATTGTCATTGTCATTGTCATTGTCATTGTCAT